GGATTATACTGACTCAACTTCATTTCAGCCTTCTGTCTTTTAATTTCTTCTAATTTTGGTAGTAAAACGGAAATTGGATATTCGAGACCAATACGTCTTACTTCTGTTTTGTTATTAGGAGAAAGGCCCTAAAAGAATTGCTGTTTAACCATTTCTTCTTGATTCAGTGCTGGAAGTGCTGGATAGGCACGACCAACTATTCTTTTCAATTTTGCATAAAAACAACCTATAGAATCAGTACCTTGGGTAATGTTATGAAATATCACTTTTGATTTTTTAGCAGTTATTGTTGGATAATTAGTTCTGAACCAGTATATTATCTGTCCAATGCAAATTTCTGGAGCTATAGTATTTCCTCCTGCATTAGCATTAGGAGAATTAGGTGCTAATTCTGTTGGTCGACCACCAGATATTAACTAGTCTTTATCAAAAATGGTATGTGCTAATACTAATAGTATAGCAATTGGATTATTGTTAGCTAGAACTGTATTTCTTATTTGAAAAGCTCCGCCTCTAAACTGGTTAGCATTAATATTGTGCAATGCATTATTATTAGCCAATCCATTAATAGCCCCAAGATCAGCCAAGTTGGTATTGTCACTAATATTTTGCAATTTCTAATTTTTATTCTTGAGATAAGTTTCATACTAATATTTTGCCTTATTTCTTAAACAAGTCTCAAAAAGTCTATAAATTCTTACTTTAGTTTGAGTGTCTGCAAGTGGATCAAGTCTGGATGCTTCACAATATTGTCTAAAATCTCTAATCCATTCTTCTGGATCTTCTCCAGCTTTTCCGTAAAATGGGGTTGGTGCATATTCTGCCATTCCTCTATATTGATTATATATAGGTAAATTATTCTGAAATACAAATATTTGTTGATTCAAATTCAAAATTAATTGCTCTGAATTGTGTTCTCTATTTTTCCGCTTGATATGACTTGCCTTTCGATCCTTAAATTTATTGTAATATCTATCAAAGATTTGATCTCAATTATATTCCAATAATCCTTTATCAGCCTGGCATTGTTGTAACTCCCACTTTAGCCAATGAATGGATATTTTATAAATAATTTTGAGAGAATGCCTAATTTTAGATTGTTCTTCTAATGCCAAGGTAACATTATGCAACATCGGCCTCGCAAATTATATCTTTGTTAGTTATTATTAAGATATCTAGTAAGTTGATTGATACGATTTCACAAGGTATTTTGTTCTGGTATAAGTTGGTTAATATGATTTTGCAAGGTATCTTGTACTTGAATAAGTTAATTAGTTTGATTCTAAAGGTTGGCATTTTGTTGTCTATAGAAATTAACATCCTGTTGTAGCTGAACTATCTGATTATCTCTATCATCTCGTTGGGCAATAACACTATCTATATCCTAATATACGTTTTGGTAATTAAGGCGGATAGTATTCAAAGAACCTCTAATGCCATTTATAATATTGATAGGATTATTTAATAGTGTTCCAGCACCTCTAAGATAGTTTTCAATATAATCTAAGCCTTGGTTAATTTGTATAAAAAGATCAAGATTCACCATATTTATATCTTCCGCTTCTGAATTATATAAACTTGGAGACTTCTTTGAGAAGAAATAACTTTGAATCTATGCCTTAAATTTTGAACCCGCTCTTTCGATTCTTGTAATTGCTTCTCTATACTATCAATATAAGATATCTTGTCTCAGAGCTTCTTTTTAGCTTGATATAAACTTTTTTTAAGGGATGATATTTTCGATCTCAACTCCGCCTTTTCTTCCTCTGAAGCATTCTCAAGCTATTCTAGTTCTTTATTGAGAGATTGAATTTTATCCTCATACCAGGTATATTTACATTCTAGATTCTTTATATATTTTTCATTTGACTTGTTGATAGCTATCTCCGATTGTAATATCTCTTGGAGTTCTTGGTTAATTTGTTCCAGCTCGAGTTCTTTATCTGTAGCTGATCTATGAGTTGTTTAATTGGGAGGTTGGGGTCTATGAAATGCCATGGTTATTACGAAGTAATGAGACTCTGTCTCTATTTTTTATGGCATATTATATTATCTTATCTCTTGACTTTGCTATAATATGTAATATCAAAAATGAGTAGGTCCTTAGACCATGCTTTGCATAGATTGAGCAAGCTTATTATTAGAATTGATCCAAACAAGGAGTTGAACTTAATTTGTAAATTGCTTTTTTACCAACCTACTAGTTACTATTCCAACCCTCAAAAGCTGTATAATGCTATCAAAAATAAAGGATATAACTTCCTATATCAAAAAATTCATAAATAGTTACATAACTAGAATGAATAGCAAAAGTATGCTCTGTTACTGAAAAATATTTCACGAGTTAGTTATGGTAAAATTTCACGTCCAAATTGTGTACACCAATGTGACCTCTTATTTCTTATGCATGATAAATATAAGAGGAAGACATGGAAAGCAGTATTACAAATTATAGATGTGGCTAGCAGGTTCAAAGCAAGTGTTCCCCTAATATCAAAAATAGTTCTGAAGTTGCTAAAGCATTTAAGAAAATTTATGATAATCCAAATAATCCTCTTACATACTCAATACTTCTACAATATAATAGTGGTAAAGAATTCATGAGTGAAACTGCTTGATTAATGGAAGCGCATAATGTCACAATTCGAGTAATTGGTGCTTATAGTCATCGTGAATTAGCTCTTGTAGAATGATTCAATAAGATGTTAGCAGAGATGCTTTATAAAATCCAATATGCCATTGAATCAATATCTAAAAATCTTAAATTAATAAGAGAGTGGGTCAAGTATTTGCCAGAAGTAATAGATTATCTTAATAATTATCTGACACATTTCATTCGAGCTCCAGGTTTATTAAAATGGGATTTAGCTCCAGCAAAAGCTATTAAATTGAAATAAGTAGAATCTAGGCTATCTACAAAGTATAAGCGTCCTATTGGAAAGGATGAGAAAAATAAGTTAAAAAAGGGGGATAGTGTTCACTATCTGCTTGCTAATGCCGAATGGGAAGGAGGTATGGAGAATCAGAAAAGAGTAACAGATCCCACATTCAGTCCAAGCATTCATAAAATTCAAAAAATTGTTGTAACGAAGAATGAGCCAATTTTATATTATCTCAGAGATGATGACAATGAATATCCTCCAAAGCGGGGTTTGTACATGAAGAGCTCATGCACATAGACCTAGAAAAACTTCAGTATCTGCCCCAGAGTATATTGGAAGAAAATACTCGCTTCAGATCTGTTAATTTTGTTCGTATTATTAATAAAATAACCAAGGCTCAACAATATGCCGAGAAGCATGGTAGAAAATGTCTTGGTAAAACTGGCCAAATAAATGATTTCGATGTATATCTCTGGTCATAAGAAAATAGAAACCATCAGTGGGAACATCCATATCTGTTAATTGCTACGAAATTTGAATGGTGTCCAATTTGCTTCCATCATAGCGATGAGCAGAGATGTAGATATATTTTTAATGATCTGTTGGGTAAGAAATTTCCATCTTGTAAACCATCGTTTTTGAATGGGATGCAATTAGACGGGTATAATGAAGAGCTAAAATTGGCATTCGAATTCCAGAGGCCTCAGCATTTTTCTGAGAATTCAATGTTTCATAAGCGAGGCAAGATAGACTTAGATAGTCAACAGACACGCGACCAAAAAAAGTGAGATATATGTAAAAGAGAGAGTATAGATCTTATTTGTATCCCGTTCGATTGTGATTTATTTCCCTATATCAAAAGTGAATTGCTTAAAAAAGGATATTTGAAAAATACAGATATTAATGAACATGATAATTGATATTATCTCATTAGCTAATAATATCATACTCTGAGGAGTATAGCTTTTTTTTCTAAAAATCTAATTGCGATGAGATATTTAAATACCTTACTATTGGTGCCAATGGAATATCTTTGAATTTATATCAAAGATGTGTTACGATTTTATTAGTAATATCATGAGGAATATTCAACAAAACTTTTTCACATTCTTTCTGTATTACACATATTAACCACCCAATGTGTATTAATCGATCACCTTTACCATTATATCCAGTACGGAGCAAGAAATGAAAATCATCTAACACAATATTGGTTGCCATTCTTTGATCTGCAATAATTTTTCGAAATAGTCATTTATCTCTCTCT